GATCCACCTCCCTTCAGGTGACACTGAACTCTCTCTGGGACTTAATGACTCACTTCTAAGGAACAGAGGTCGGAGAGAGAAAAACGGCACGGAGAGTGGAGAAATACTCCAAGCAACCACAGGATCTGGTCAATGTTACCAGTGCGGCGTGGTACTGACGTCATACACCCCCAACGTGATGTGACAAGAAGATCACTCCAGCTCTGTGATGTTCTTCCCCAAATCCCCCAGCCCAGGCTAATCATGAAAAGAAAAAAAAAAAAATCAGACAGACCCAAACTGTGGAACGTTCCACAGAATTCCTGATGGGTACTCTTCAAATGTGCCAGGGTCATGAGAAACAAGACTGTGAGACTGTTACAGATTGGAGGAGACTAAGGAGACAGGACAATTGGGTTAAATTCTAAGAGAGAAAAAAGATATTAGTGAAAACACTGGGGAAAATCTAACTTATGTCTCGAGTTAATGTTTTACCAATGTTAATGTCTCTATTCTGCTAATTGACTAGGAAGTGGTCACATTGGGGGGAGCGTGGGAAAGCGTAAATGGGAACTCTGCACATTTTCACTTTTCTGTAAATCAAAAATTGCATTTCAAACTACAATTTTTTTTAAAAATCCATTTCTCACTGACACTGGCCACATTTCAAGTGCTCAGCAGCCACATGAGGCCAGGGGCTCCCCGAGGGACAGACTCCCACAGAACACTGTCATCATCCAGAAAGCTCTAACGGACGGCACAGCTCTAAGGGAATTACCTTTCTATGACATTATTGATTACTGATTAGATCCTAGAGTCTATGGACTTGGAGGAAACTGATAAGGTGACAGTGGGAAGATAACTGCAAAGGTTATGGCTTTGTTGACCTCAGGACAGTAACCGTGAAGCTCTAACTCACCCACTTGACTTTAGTGTTCCTTTTCTCCACTGATGATGGCCGAGGAAGAGGTTGCAGAGAGGTTCCACAGGCCCCTCTGACTCTGCTGCGGTGTTGAGTTGATTTCCCACAAATGAGTAAAATAAAACCTGGACACAAGCCCACTGTGTGTTTGCAAAACTGTATTTTAGTATTTCTAAACTGATGTTTAGGAGCTCTGGTAGCATAGTGGCTAAAGCACTTGACTGCTAACCAGAGGCTGGCGGTTCAAACCCACTAGCCACTCCTCGGAA